CCTGATATCAAAGGTAATGGATACCTGTTCTTGATTGTGATCTTGTTGAGTCCTCGATAATCAACACACATTCGTAAAGATCCATCTTTTTTCTTTACGAATAGAATTGGAGCTCTTGCTGGAGATTTTGAATGGCGTATGAAATTCTTCGCTAAATTCTCGTCAATATATGTCTTGAGTTCAGCCATCTCATCTTGCGATAAACTGTAAATTGGTCCAAATGGTGGCTGAGTTCCTTCCTTGAGGTCGATTGAACAATCATATGGACGATGCTCAGGAAGAATATCTGCATTCTTTTTCTCAAAAACATCTTGATACTCTTGATATTGACTTGGAATGCCACTTGAAGTCTTTACGTTTTCAGAAATAGGTGCAGCATAAATAGCAAAAGTTGATCCTTCTTTTGCTACGTGTATAAATGCTTTTGCACCTATCAGTACGAGTTTTACTATACTAGACTTATAATTCTTTACATGGTTAGAAGAACTATTAATAACGCTTTGGGAAAAGTCAAGTTTATGCGAATTCCAATCTATTCGAGGATTATATTTTTTTAGCCAAGATAAACCTAAAATAACTGGATTAGACGGGGATTTAATTATGTTAAAAGCTATGTAGCTATCATGACCGTCTATTGTTACTTTTATAGGATGAGTTTCATGAGTGACATCTCCAGAAGACAAGGGACGACCATCTATGACTTCTACATGTACTGGTTTAGGTTTTTGTAAAAAAAGTATTTTACGACTTTTAACAAATTATTCATCTAAAAAACATGCTGAGGCACCTGAATCTAATAAAGTAGAGGCTTTGTAATTCTTAGGTCCTAAATATAAGTCTATTATAAAACAAGGAGAGGGTTCTGAGGAGAGGATAGGACCTTCATTAGGAATTGTACAAGGTTCCAGCTGCACGGTCCCTATTGTAGCTGGACGAATCCGTTTTCCGACATCTTGTTTTCTTTGACAGCATACCCTTCATTTTATAGTTGCGTCGCTTCTTTGGACAATGTTGAGCAGTGTGCTTAGGTTCTCCGCAATATAAACATAATCCTTCTTGACGACTACGAATCTTTTCTTGCTCAGTTAGGGGTTTAAAACGTACCGCGTCAATTTGCATGTCTTCTACTTCTGAATGTACGTTTGGCAAAGATGTTGATGTTGCCATTGAGTAATAACGTTGAGGTTCCCGTGAATGATTCTCAGATCGAAATTCGAAAAGTTGATTATCACATTTTACCGCAAAATCGATTGCTTGACTCAAAGTTTGAGGATCAGGTAAGTTGAGCATCAATTTCTTTACTTCATATTGCAATCCATAAAGAAATTGACTGATGAGTGCAGCATCATCCCACTTGATGTCAATTGTAAGTTGTCGAAATTATGAAGCATACACTGTTACTGAGCGATTTCCTTGTCGTAGAATTCGGATCTTATTTGTTGCAACACGAGTTGCATCGTGTGCACCATACATAGATCGAAATTCCGCCAAAAAAGCTTCCAAATTGTCCAATATTGGATTTCGTTGTTCAAGAAAAGATGAAAACCACGATAATGCAGAACCAGAAAGTAGAGTGCCAATAAACCTGACTTGTGATCCTGGAGTTGGATAGCTTTGCGGTTGAAGTTCAATTGCCAATTGTACTTGATTGATGAACCCTCGAAACTTAGATCTCGTACCATCAAATTTCTCAGGTAAGGCGATTCTTGGTTCTCTTACAGGGTGTTGTACAATTGGAGAAGGAACGTGATTTGTTGTAGATGTTGAAGCGGCTCCGATCATCTCTATATCCCCACTTTCTGCTATTCTTGTTCTTTCCTGTGTTGGTTAATTGAGTTGATGCATCGCAAGCATTAACTCCCTCATTTGCTCTTGCATTTGTGCCATTGCACTCTTCATTTCAACAAGCTCTGCCATAATGACACTAAGAAGAAAAATTTGTTTGATACTGCTCAAGACAAAAGAAAAGAAAGACTTGATAACAAAGAAGATACTAAGAACAATATCAGTTTAGAAGTGGTAATCCGCAAACTTCTAATACGCTTATGTCTTGTCAAGAGAAAGGGGTAATCCACTCTCATTCAAGAAAAACAAAGCTCTGATATTGTAAGTGTACTCTTGTCAATCTGTCAAGGACAAGAACTCGATGAAAAAACAATTCAGACAAGTGAGCCTTCACTCAAAGAGAGGTAAATAAACAAATATATATATTGAAAGAGAAACTGGAATGGCTATTGCCAAAAGACAAGAAAACTAGAGACCTTTGAAACTAGACTAGAAGCAAGAAAGGAGTTGACAAGAGTGAAGAAGCCTTCACTCTTGTCTCTATATATACTATCTAATTAGGAGCTACGTGGCGATGTTCTATAGGACCTCCAATATGTGTTGACTTTGTAAGACACATGCCTTGACTTAGAAGGCAAGTTTTTCTACGTGTGGGCCACATAGTTAGCTTGATCTTCAAGCTAACAACATGTGTGGCACATGGCCAACTTGTTGACCACGTTTCTAATCCAAAAAGTCAATTAAAGACACCTATGAAGTCAAAGCAGCGTCTAGGAAGTTTCTAGGAAGCTTCTATATTAAATATTATAGGATTAACTTACTTTTATCTACTTTTACTTACTTCTACCTATTTCTATATGTAATTATTAGCTTACATGATTATGGCCGTAACACCGAGTAACCGATCACTGGTGATCGTATTTGAGATCGAGCCTGCTTACGATGGTCAACCTGAAGGCTTGTTTGTAGGACAATTTCACAATGAGGACATAGAAGTTCATGCTTGGTCAGAAGTCGTAGGCGTGGGCCACTACCGTTGGCTTCAAGGGTCGATGAACCACTTGCCTCGTGAACAACAGTTGGAGTTCATAGAAGAAGTTATGCGACAGATCTTCATTTTCTTGCGTTGGTACTAATCAACAACATTGCTTCTCAGAGACCTCGAAGCTAAAGGAGGGGGTGATGTTAGGGACATATTCCTTAGAACTTTTTAGAGAGAAGTTTCTAGAAGCTTCTAGAAGGGAAGTCTCTGGAACCTTCTACAAGAGAAGTTTCTAGAATCTTCTAGAAAGGAATCCCCTGGAACTTTTTAGAAGCTTTCTAGTTAATAGAAGTAACTCGAGAAGTTTCTAGAACCTTTTAGAAAAGAAGCCTCTGGAACCTTCTAGAAGCTTCCTAGTTAATAGAAGTAGCTCGAGAAGCTTCCTAAGTAGGAGCATATATAGGGATCAAGGCTGAAGAGTTCTTCAGTCTCGACAACACATCTCTTCGAGTTTTAGCTCACCTTTCTGGTATTGTTCTTGTACTCATCTATTTAATCTAGTTCTGCCACTTCTTCTTGAACTTCTTGTTAGATTTCAAGTCTGTATTTTGTGTCCATGACAGGACGTTCCACCATAGTAGAAAGGACATGATTTGGTATAGATGTTGAAGCAGCTCCAACCATTTCTATATCTTCATTTCCTACCAATCTTGTTGCTCCTTGTGGTGGTAAATTGAGTTGATGCATCGCAAGCATTAACTCCCTCAATTGCTCTTGTATTTATGCCATTGCACTCTTCATTTCAAGAAGTTCTGCCATGATAATACTTAGAAGAGAGAAGATGTCTAATATCGCTCAAGACCAATAGAAGAGAGGACTTGAGAACAAAGAAAATACTAAGGACAATATCAGTTTAGAAGAGGGTAATCCGCAACTTCTAATATGCTTATATCTTATCAAGAAAAAATGGGTAATCCACTCTTAATCAAGATTAGACAAAGCTCTGATATTGTAGGTGTATTCTTGTCAATCTGTCAAGGACAAGAACTCGATGAAAAAATAATTCAGACAAGTCAGCCTTCACTCAAAGAGAGGTAACAAAATATATATAAACAAGTATATATATATATATATATATATATATATATATATATAATGAAAAACTGGAATGGCTATTGCCAAAAGACAAGAAAAATAGAGATCCTTGAAACTAGACTAGAAGCAAGAAAGGAGTTGACAAGAGTGAAGAAGCCTTCATTCGTATCTTTATATATACTATCTAACTAGGGACTACGTGGCGACGTTCTATAGAACTTCCAATATGTGTTGACTTTGTAGCACACATGCCTTGACTTACAAGGCAAGTTTTTCTATGTGTGGGCCACATAGTTAGCTTGATCTTCAAGCTAACAACATGTGTGGCACATGGCCAACTTGTTGACCACGTTTCTAATCCAAAAAGTCAATTAAAGATACCTATGAAGTCAAAACAGCATCTATGAAGCTTCTAGGAAGTTTCTATATTAAATATTATAGAATTAACTTACTTTTACCTACTTTTACTTACTTCTACTTATTTGTATATGTAATTATTAGCTTACATGATTATGTCCGTGACAATAATAGTAGATTATATCGAAATTTTTTTTTCTTTGAGATTCATATCCTTGACATCTATTTTATAAAATAGCTTGTTTTTCAATGCGATGGTTAATGTTATTTATTTTTTATATTATTATTATTATTATTATTATTCTGTGTGCCTTACATTTTAAGAATTCATTTATATCTTGTAATAAACAAAATCTGCATTAAAAATATAATCACTTTCTTTTTACTCATTGTTTCATTTGCACGTAAACATGCATTTTGCTTCATTTTCCTTAATAATGAATATGCTATACAAATTTCGTGAAAAGTTTTTGAGAATCTGTTTTAGAAACAGTAAATTCATATCTATGGCTCAATCCAACACGTCAACCCATTTGTCTTCTCAAGATGCTAAAAGGCCAATTCACGTGGGACCTAAAACCAGGCCACGCATGGTTGCAAGCTGTCCCTAGTGTACAGGAGCGACCCTTCCAGTAATAGTCCATGCCATCTCACCCTCTGGGCATCTCTACGATCTCTCAGGTCTGGGATCAGGTTCGGAATTGACGTCAATGGAGGGATCTGGGACGTCGGATCGTCATGTGCGATCAGCGGCTGGGAGGATATATAAATATGCGAATGCATCCACTTAAAGAACCCGCAGTGGTTCAGTATCTACTTCATCGTCGTCTCTTTGCAAATTCTAAGCTCCCGCTTCTTCCTCATCATCATCATCACCATCACCATGTCTGGCTGTGGAAACTCCGCATGCTGCTGCGGCAGCGACTGCCAGTGCAGTCCCGGCAACTGCAGGTGAGTGTTGATAAATTGGTTCTTGACTTGTCATGACGTTGTCTGTAAAAATTGCGCGAGTTAATTTTGTCGCTATGATCGTGGCGTGGGGTTAGAGTGTGTGTTAGAGAGAGTTGGTTTAACTTAACGGACGATTGTAGGTTGCCCTGAGTGATGTTGTGTTGTTGCTGAACAATGCTGGACGTTGGAGTTATATGTTTTTGTATAACTGAAGGAGTTCACAATCCAGGACTCAGTTTATGAGTCGTTCCCGGTGACGTCCTCGCATGATTGGGAAAATAGCTTACATAGTCGTTGGTTTACTTTTCGTCGTAGCTAAGAGCTCCTTGATGTCAAGCTACTGAAACTCAGCATGTTCTTTGTGTTGTTAGTACGATTTAATCGACGCGTCTCCTGCGATTAGGCCAAGAATTGCTGGTGTATTCGTGCTTGTGCTAGTGTCTGTCGATTCAGTTGCAGGTGTTTGTTTGGGCTGAGGAGTTCTTTACTTTGGAAAGAGAACGATGGCTCTAGTATGTGTTTTGAGCACGTCCAAAATAGTTCAGTCGGGTAGGATGGAGGTTCTGTCATTTTGATTGTCACAGGTGAATTACTATTACGCATCGAAAGGTGCTGGTTCCTTTGACTACATGCCATCGACGCTGTAGTTTTAACCGTCATGAAGTTTTTCACAAAGTATCAGATTTTTTGACTTGGACGTACTACTGACTTTCAGGTGCAGGACCATGGATGCGCCGAACTTCGGTGATCTCCGCAAGTGAGTATTGGCGTGTTTTTGTATTAAATTTAGTTAAATTTGTGTTGCGCTGAAATAATAACTTGATTTTGAAGATATTTCTATCATTTTTGTTAATGTATATATTTTTGTTGTTATTTATTATAGTTCATAAATCGTAATTAGTTACAGTGTATTGTGCTGGTGTTCTATTACATTTCTAGTCTAAATCTTGAGGATTGGCAGCTACAACGCGGCGTACAACTGGACTATCAACAGCAAGAATTTTTACTAGTGCCACAAGTGAATTCTGTTCAGAGTCTTATTTTCCTCACAGAAGAGATGTGAAGATGAATATTCTTGATTTTCACTCTTTGGGGCAGATAACGTGGTTTTCAGTTGTATTTGATGTGTGTGCATCATCTCTGGCTTAAGCAGAAGATGTCTTCAATAAGACGTGAATTTGTGTGATTTTAAAAATAAACTTGTTGATCTCTGCCGGAATCTTTTGTGTTTGACTTGGCTTTTCCTCTGACACTTCTTGTCTTTTACTTAGTCTTCTTTTTGCCGTATTGTTAAACCTTGATATTTTCTATTAGTTGTATTGATCCCACGTTCATCTTGTGCGGTGGTTGCATACCATTTCGTTTGGTTAAAATCAAGGAATACTTTTAAAAACTAAATTTTGACGGTCATCTGGAGGAATCATCATTGGTCCGATACTTGATTTTTAGAAGCACTTTCTTCTTATGATTTCAGAACATGATTAATTCTTCTTCAATCATCATCTACTTGCTTTGCTTCATCATTCAGTATCTCGTCAATCATACCACTTGAATTTTGATCATACATTTACTTGTATTGTTTTTCTTCGTTTGACTTTACAATGCATATTGCTTGTTTGAACCTCATTGATATCAAAATACTATGAGGTCTAGATAAAAAAAAGAAATAGGAAATCAAATATAATTTTACCATTTCAAACTGCAAATGTCTACAATCGTTTTTTAAGAAATACTTACAAAAAGATTTTTAGAATTGTGTTTTTATTTTAGCTTTAGATCTTCAATGTTTAATAAATCTAAAAAAACACCAATTTCAATTGAAAAAAGAAATTAGAAAACCTTAATAATTAATATGATTACATTGTTAAGGCTATATTATGCATAAAACTACAAGCACTACTTTCAATTACATAAATAAAAATATTACTTTAAAACTATAAGTATTATTATACCTACTTCCAATGATTTTTTTAAAATATTACAAATTTTAACGTTACAAAGGCATATTATAAATAAAAGGTCATTCAAATATTCAAAAATTAAAATATTTTATATTTATATTTAAAATTTTATAATACACCAAGAGAAAAAAGAATGAAAAATTGATTGTGGCCAGAATAGGATTGTTTCAATATATAACAATTTGATATGTAATATTTTTCAATTTTATTTTTATTTTAGTAAGAACAAAGTAACATTCATATTACAATATCTAAAAAGCTTAGATTTTAATTTCAAAAAACCAATACAAAGTTCTTAAAAATTACAATAATAAAAAAATTTAATAATGAAAATATATTTAGAACTTTATACTACATACTACTATATGAACTATATCAATAATAAAATTGTAAATAATTTGATCTAATCATGTAATTAAAAAGAAAATCTTTAGATGAGAAATATATAAAATTTTATAGAAAAAAGTACAAAAATTCTTTAATAGATACAAATATATATATATATATATATATATATATACATATACATAGAAAAAATAAATTTAAAGAAAGTACTTTTTTATCTAAATATAAATCACAAACATATATTTTTTTAAAAATATTATAAAATTAATTAATTATAATATAAAAAATTAAAATCGTCTAAAATATTGTATGCTACTACTATATCTTACATCCAAGTGGATGATTAGATTTTACAATTTGAAGGTTTAGCAATTATAAAAAGTTTAAAACAAGATGTAAGATATAGTGGTAGCATAAGGCCTATATTTGATGGTTGTGATTTAGAGTTGTGTAATTGCAAGGTCTCTATTATAAAAAAAAATTAATTACTTTAAAACTACTATTTTATTCTATTCTTATTATTTTTTAAATAATGGTATAGAATAATAAAATTATTTTTATTATTTTTAAAGAAGTTAAACAATTTTAAAATTAGACTAGATCACAAGAAAGATATTGACAAAATATCATGGACATCATTATTAATATTAGTGAATAGGAGGATAAGAAGAGTTAGGTAGAATTATAAGTAAGTAAAGTTCATAACATCTTATAGAAAAGTTTCTTAGAAGCTTTAAAAATGTAGATTTAAATTTACAAGTATTTGTAAATAATTGGTAAGTTAAAAATTTGGTCATATGTTGTACATGTTGGCTTCTTGTGGTACAAATTGGCCATGTGATGCACTTGTGAGGAACTTGCCTTATAATATTTATTTAAATTTATTACTAAAAATATAAAATTAAAATTATTTAGAAAATAATTATATATAATATTATCTATTTTGATAGTTAATGTTGGTGTAGATGATATTTTTTATATGTACAATTAACATGAAATATTATCTATATTCAAAAGAATAAAATTCAGAATTTAATTATTATAAGATATAACAAAAATTACAAGATATAAGTTTTAAAGCATTTGTAATAAATAAAAAATCATCAATAAGAATTAATGATTTTTTTTTTGAAAAAATAAAATTAATCTTTGAAAAAAATAAAATTTTGATTTGGATATTTTCTAATGTAAAATAAAATATAATAAAAAAAAATGATCAAGAAAACTTATAAAGTTAGAAAATATGGTTATAATAATTTTATTTTTGCAAAAATATTACGATTAATTATTTTTTAGATAAAATATAAGTTTCTTCGAGATAATAATATTTTTTTAATTCTTTTAATGCCAAATACTGATTAAATTACTATATTTTATTTGAAATCAATTTTTTTCTTCAAATTATATGCAATAAAAAATAAAAAAATATTAAAAGTTATATTCCAATACTGTAAAAAAAGTTTTAAACATAAGTAAATTTTAGTCTTTTAAAATATAAAAAATAAATATAAAAACATTAAATTTTAATATTTTAAGAATCAAAATTGTATAACTTCACAATAATGAAATATTTAACCTGATTTTTTCTTTCAATATATAAATTAGAATTAAATTAAAATGTATATTTTTAGGATTTAGAGTTAATTTCTTTAAAATATGAATATAAATATATGTATATAAATATATATATATATATATATATATATATATATAGACAAGATGATATGATGAAATTTTTATAATAATATTTAAACATTAAATATTAAATTCTAAATTTATTTTTATAGATCATAATATTTTTGACTAAAATGATTTCTATTTACAAAATAAATTTTAAATACACGTATGTATTTCAACATCAAAAAAAAAATTAAACAATTTCCGTAATAATTTCATAATTATTCTAATTTATTCAAAAATTCAGTTTATAAATTATAAACATATAAATTATAGAAATTATTCAAAAATGAAATATTAAACGACAATAGATTTATATAAAAAATTAATAAATACACATGCGGCATAACAATTGAATGTTTATTTTAGTAGTAAAAAAATAATTTAATATTAGTGATTAATTTTTATTTCTTAGAAAATTTGATTCTTCATAAAATTTCAAATATTATCATTTTTTATATAATTTTTTAATCTTTTATATAGGATTTATAAGTAGCTCTAGACTTTGTCAATTTTTTATTTTAAATATTAATATTTGATCTTAAAATTTACCAAGAGTTAAGAATTTTAATTGTAATATTTTTAAACATAAAACTATAAGGATTTAAATCTTAGACAAAGAAACAACATCCAACTTAGTCAAGGATGGTATATTACCCTCATAGTTTGCTTGTATAGTTGATTGAAGATGCAACCTTAGATGATAAGATTAAGATAATTAAATTAACATAATTTTTCTTTTCTTTTGTTTTTTTTTAAAAAAAAAAAAGAAAAGAAGTACCATTTGAAGTCAAGATTCAAATAAGCTTAAGTTTATTGAAAGGCAATAAATGACAAGATTGTAGCACTTAATTTTGTAGAAAAGAATCAGTTGCCTTGCTAAATTATAGCATCAATTTTGAAGGATGATATTTAGAAAAAATTTTAGAAGTGAGTCGTAAAATATATATATATGTATATATATATCTTTAAGTCTTCTTTTTAACAAAACTATTTAGATTCATTTTGGAGTATCTTTGCAAAAGAGTATTTTATTTTATAAAGATGGATGCAACAATATGTTTAGAGGTGCGAAATCCCTTTAGTAAGTTGCTATAGATGAATTCAAGATGAAAGGTTAAAAATAATGCAGATGTATAATTTGGATGCATAAATAAAATTAATATATGATTTTTTTTTATATAAATGTGATAGTTGAATAATTTTTTTAATTTGAATGTGATATATTTTTTTGACAAATTAATGAGAATAAATCTATTGAATGGATTATGTTGAATGTTGGCTAAAGAGATGTGTGAAACTTAAATAATTAGTAAAATAATAATAAAAGTTGGAATTTAAATACATATTAATTAATTTTAAGATAATATTAATTTGTGTGTGGAATTTCAAGACATAAAATTGAGTGCACTTTATTCTTCTAAAAAAGAACTTAATAATTCAAGCCTAAAATTATTTAGAAGATCTATGTTGTGTTGTGTAAAAATCAACCTAGAAATGCACTAAGCATCTTATCAAGGAAGGATTTGATCTAACCTTGAGGTTAGATTTACAATCCAAATATGGCATAGAAGGTGTTTAGAAACACCTTTTTGATAATCTTGAATAACCTTGATAAGCTTCAATTTATGCTAAGTACACCTTATAAATTTTAAAAGAGTTCTAAAAAATCTGAAGTTACTCTAATACATTTGAAATAAGCCTTAAACAATTTTAAAAATCATCTTTAAATTGTATAGATATTCTAGTCAATCAAAACAAATTCTAATTAATTATAAATAAATATTAAAGAAAATTTATAGGAATCCTAAAATAATCATGAAGAAATATTTAAATTAATCCTAATATGCTCTAACAAACTTTAAAGAAATTATAAGTAAATCCTAATCAAATATTAAATCCAAAAAAATATTAATCACATTCTAATAAAATCATAAATAAATCCTATAAGAATCTAATAAAATCTTTAAAAATTATAAATTAATTCTATAGTAGATTTAAACTCTTAATACTTATTAATTTAAATAAATTTCATAATTTATAATTTTTTATACATTTTAATCTGATAATTGATAACAAGAACATAATATTTAAGTAAAAAAATATTTATAGATTTAGAAAAAATGCTCTTAATCTACTTATGTATTGGAAATCTTTTTTCTTTAACCTTAATATTAATCTTTCAGTATCAATAGCATCAATTACACCATTTATTTATTCTAATAGTTTGCATAGATATTAGAAATTAATTTAATTATTAGTTAAAAATAAATTAATTTTAATCTAACTTACAAATTCTTCAAAATCATAAAATTCTCATTGATCTTTAAAATCAATTTTCCTTAAATAATTGTTTGATTAAAAAAAATTTCATAATCCATATCTATTAAAACTATGTTGACAAACTCAATTTTTTTTCTTACAGATCTATTAAAAGAATTATAAAATTTATTATAACGTAATCTCTTTTTTATTCTACAAAAAAACAAAATCATCTAAAACAAATGTGACTTTGCAAAGCTTTTATAAGTAGCCGTGGGTACTTTACATCTTCACATCAATATCTATTTAAGTCCTTTAAAACTAATGTTTAAAATAATCCTATTTAATTAGCTCTTGAATTCTTTTATTTGATTATTATTAAAACTTCAAATTTATTATAGATATACAATTTTTTGCCTCAAGGTTTTATAAAAATTCAATTTACAATTGGTCGTCTTTGGATATTAATTTAAGATTTCCAATCAAACATTCTTGCTAAAAGCTACTTATTAAATTTTTTGAAAGATACATATATTGTAATTTTTAATAAATTATTATATTTTATCTTATTTATGATCCTACAAAGTAAGTAGAAGCCATTTTTATAAAAATATATCATAAATACTAAATTAATTTTTATTATTTTCCTTACTTTTATTTAAATTTTATAAAATTATTATGTACAATATTTTCAATCATTTTCTTTCATAATATAATATTTCATTTTTTATTTCACTTATTAGTTGTATTATAGTATATTAACAAAGCAATATGCAAATGAATGTTCCATGTCCAAGGTTAAAGACAAAATCCTTAATTAAGGCCATATTTGAACTATTAGGTTCTATCTAATAATGTTGTTGTGTTATGTGAATTTTTTTTTGAGAATGTAATGGATATTTGATGGTAGAAGGATTTTATCTTATCCTCAAGTTAAATTAAAATAAAAAATAAATAATATATTACATGTTTAAAATTTCTTGATAAACTTAAATAATCTAAATATATTTATTTCAGTCTATCAATTAGGATTTATCTCACTCTATTCAAATTTGATTGAATAAATCCTAATTAAATTGTAAATAAATCACAGCTAGTTTTAATAAATAATTAAAAAAAATTAAGACATATCCTAACAAATATAATCCTAACAAATCCTAAGAAAACACCAAAAAAAAATTCAAACCTCAATTAGTTTTATACTAACTATTGATCTTAATTCAAATTTCTTTCACATCTCAACTTACTAGTTAAAAACAAGCTTACAAAGTTTTAAGATAATCTAACATACAAATTGAGAGGAATAATTCAAAATCCATATAGATGTTAATTGTCTTTCTTCTTCATTCTTATTGTAAATCTTCTATCTCACTCATAAATAATGCACTTATTTTCAAAAATAAATTTTAACTATTAACATTTAAAAGATTTTTTAAAATCCAATTGGCATATTTCTTGAAATCTAAGAAAATTTTACAAACCTTTAAAGTTAAATTTTTAAGACCCTAATTTACTTAAATCTCAATTTTTTTTTATCTAATTATTCAATTAAGCTCTAACTTATAATCTATATTTTATAAAATTATATTGAAATATCTAAAAAGATTATCTTCAAATCTACTATACAACTTAAAAAATTCACCAAAACATAACTAATTTTTATACAATATAAAATAGAATCATCAAAATCAACCTAAACTTTTCAAAGCTCTCACTAAGTCAATATGCACTTAATTCCCTCAAAACCAAATCTTATAAAATCTCTATCAATTTTTTCTCCAAAATCCATATTTTTATCAACAAAAAATGTTTCATTTAGTGTCTGCATACAATTTTGTGACCCAAGGTCTAATTTCAATCTTAATTTATAACAAGCCCCTCTATGGATATTAATCTAAGATTTATCTAAATAATTTTTATTGGTTTTTTTTCTTTATTTTTATCTAAATATTCTAATAATATAATTTTTTCTTATTTACATTCTTTTATCTTATTTATAAATCTATATAAGAAGTAGAAGCTCTTTTTATAAAAAATAACATTAACACTTATTAGTTTTACTACCTTCATAACTATTATTTATATTTTAAAGATAATTTGGTAATATATTTTAAATTAAGCTCTTCTATAATGTTATATATATATATATATATATATATATATATTTTTCATCCAATGATTGTATTATAATAATATAATATAATCTATAATAATTTTTTTAAGTTTAAGATTGCCAAAATAATTTTCAATATTATTCATCATAGAGGCATTTGTAGGTAAATATTGTGAATTTGATAATGAGCAAAATTAGGGTGATCAAGCATGGAAGAAAAAAGTAAAGGAAAAAATGAATAAAGAAGAAGAGTCAATTGCATAAGATATAAAAAGTGTTCCTTGTAAAAAGAAAACTTCAATAAGTTGTATTACTAGAAAAGCAAAGGGAGATGCTGAAGTAGATAGAAAGTGAGGTTGTTGCAAACAACCAAAGACATTCCTATGCCAAGGCTATTTGCCAATTTTCTCATTTTTTTAGGAGGACATTAGAAATCAACTACTAAAGAACACTTTATATTTAAAATTTATCTTTAAAATTTGTTGAAAATATGCTACATAAATGAGTGTAATAAAATCAATACTTCAAGAAGATAAGTTGCAACATAAAACTTGTCATGGATATACATAGGTACTTTAATAAATACTTATATGATTAGGTAGAAGTAGATAAAAGTACGTTAATTTCATAATACCTTCTAAAAGAAGCTTTTTAAAAGCTTTATAGATGCTTTTTTGACTTTATATATGTTTGTAGTTGATTGATAGGTTAGAAACTTGATCAACAAGTTAATTATGTATTGGTAGCTTGTGGAATAAGTTAATTATGTTGTACATATATAGAAAACTTGCCTTGAAAGTTAAAATACGTGTCTTGCAAAGTCAACACGTTTTAGAGGTCCTATAGGACATCGCCACATAGTTCCTAATTAAGAATATATGTGGAGACAAGAATGAAGCCTTCTTTACTCTTGTCAACACCTTTCTAATCTTTAGACTTCTTTTTAGACTTTCAAGTCTTCTTGTTTTTGGTAATAGCCATTCTAGTTTAATAATATATCATCTTTGAGTGACTTTCAAGTTCTTTTTAGTGTCACAAGAATGTTTTGAAGATCTCTTTCCTCAAGATTCATATCTTTGACAGTTTGATAAGAGTGCTAACTTACTGTTTCTATCTTGTTTCAGAAGTGAGTGGTTTACCCTACTTTTATTGTTGTCTTTTGAAGGTTGAGTAGTGCTTACATTCAAACAAAAAATATTTTTTTTTAACACTGATCTTTTTCTTAAAGAGAGTGGATTACTCCTCTTTGTAGAAATTTTCATTTGATATTAAAGATTGTAGATTATCTTCCTTTAATTTGACTTTTTGAATTTGTATGAATTGTCTATGGAAAGAAATATTATGGATGCTACTCTCAGTAGAAGTGAAAAAAGATTTGCATCTATGCCTATAGAAGAAGTACTATGCCTACGTCCATAGAAGAAGTTCAAAGTCTGCAGCAAGAAGTTGTGCAGTTGAAAGAAGCAAGTAGTTTGACCTCGCAACCAAATCCAAGGAGTCTTGCTTCTACAAGTATGACGTGGATAAGGATTAGTATGCCTGAGAAGTTTGATGGAACAAGATCAAAATTTTGAGGATTTCTTCAATAAGTCAAGCTCTAACTAAGATTGCATCATTTCCAATATCCGGATGGGTTTACTCAAGTTGGATTTATAGGCGTACTTCTATCAGAAAGTTCTCTCTTTTTGTTTGCATCTTTAATAGAAAAAAATTCACGACTCTTTTATAATTTGAATTCATTCCTAGAACTGTTTACAGCCACATTCGAAGAAAGTAATCAAAAAAGAGTAGCAGAGATTAAGCTCTTATCTTCATAGCAAAGATCATGGTGAGCCATCATATATGCTATTGAATTCCAAAATCTTGCTTGCGACATGGATTGAAATGACAAAGTCCTTATCAATCTATTTCGATATAGATAGAAGTCAAATTTGTAACAATAAAATTTCTAAAAAGCTTTTCTATAAGAAACTAACAAATTCTAGTATTTTTGTCTAATTCTTCTTATCTAAATAAATATTAGTATTAATATATATATTTTTGTAACATTTATAGAATATACTATTTGAATTAAGTTGTAGAAATTTTTAAAAATATATTTCAAATAAATTTGCTGTAAAGAATAAAGTTTAAAGTAATCAATATAAAAATCATAAAAGATAAGATTTTATTTATTTACTTATTTATTGTATATAAAATGAGTATTATTATTCATTGGAATTATTATTGTAATTATGTTAAGAAATTATTTTTTATAAAATTTTAAAAAAATTATCACTAAAATTCAAATTTAATCTTTTTTCATATCTTAATTTTTAAAATTAAAATATAAACTAACATATTTAAACTTGTAATAAAAAATTTGATTTGATCCATTTCACATATTCTCATTTATTATTATATCTAAAATTGAAGATTTAGCACAAAAAAAAAAAAAATTAAATGAAAAAGTAAAAAAAGTCCCCACCAAATAAAAGACCAAGCAAAAGAATTTTGAAAAAAGATTTTTTTTAAATAAATTTTTAGGTATAAAAACCTCTTTTAGCTACTGATTCAGCATCTCCACATTCGATGCATGATGTAGATACAACACTAGTTGTATGGACGAGCGGATAACTAAAACAATATGTGACGGCTTCCCCGCTAGAGGGTTATAGCAACTTCGTCCACAACTCCCAGAATCCGATGACGTCTTGCAAGAACAATGTAGTTCATGTCCTACAAAGAACGCAAAGAAACTGACCATGTTACAACATCCAAATCAAGATGTAAGATTGTATTCTACTTGAAGAAGGCACAATGAAACATATATCCAAATAACTGAACCATGCATCCCCCATTCGATCTGAAATTAGACTCGAACTTACGGTGCTTCAGAAAAATAGTTTTAACATCTATCTTGCTGACAAACTCGATTCATTATAGTACATTCCCGCCTTTTTGGTGGTGCACATATAGGGCAAAAACCCACTAAGGAAAAATGTGGAACCAACTGTACTCATCCCCCATTGAAGGGCGTAACACCAGAGATCCAAAGAACGGGCATCGAATTCCCTGATTTATCTCTCATAAAAAGTGAATAATCATCAACAACAGCGCGCGGTTGATCAGCTCGTTTCAGCCAACACTCGCCAAACTTATGCTCATGACCATCTGGAGACGGACACCCATTCTTCTCAGGACAGAATACCCAAACATTACATTTAAGTTGGCCTGGCTTTGCGTAAGCAGCATGCAATAAGCATGCCTTACAGCACTCTCCGGCACTGTTCACGTGATAGGTTAAGCCCCATCGTACTGCGATTCCGCCAAAATCAGTGTGGGGCTCGGGATAGCACTTCTCCGGAGGGGTAAGCCTCTGAATTACTCCCAAGTCGTCGTCTTCTACGGCAGGTACAGTTAGTTGTGTTTCTAGTTCTACCTGCTCGTTCAATTCTTGTTGCTCAGTTCTTTCCGCATCCTTAGCTGGAGACTGCACATACACAAACATTCCATGAAAACCTTTTTCAATAGCATGGTTATTGCACCCCAGTTACTCCGCAAATTTACAACATCCTATTTAAACCTATATCAACAATCTCATTCCGTCCAGATTGGAATCATAGAGTGGATTTGTGAACATCCTTTGCCAAAAATAACTGTCATCTGTTCCAATTTATGTGTCAAAACATACGCATAAGGAAGCATAACTTAGTCCTTCGATCTAAAATCGATTCCAGAAAAAACTAATCATGAGGACAGAGAAGAAACCGGCATGCCCAACACGATTTTCCGTAACCATAAGGAAAGCTTCTTGAAAAATACAATACTCGATGAAGCCATATGTACTGAAACAATTAAAAGAAAGAATTCATTTTCAGTTCACTGAACAGATCGCATTCTATGGGGGGGATTCACCCAACAGATGACGACCTCAATAAAGCATCTCAAAAAGTTGGCAGCTCAGAGAAGGAGTCGAATGTAACCAAGAAGTAGTCCAACCTGCTCTTGAGAGAACTTTAATAACTCTTTTTCAATATCTTTTACTCGCTCCATAAGTTTTAGAGGAGCCGATTGACGACGAAATTCAATGGCTGCTTTCATATATTCTTTTTTCATTTTCGCCAGTTCTTTTCCCTGTACTCTGTAATGATCGAAGCCTCTAAAAAAATCCAACAACGGTGAAGAAAGAGACACGGATCCTTGCGGTGATGAACCGAGAAACAGAGTAAGCACATAGGATGTCATCACCAGATGAGCTACAGCACAAAGTATCACTGTAACCCTCTTGCACCTGCGCGACGAGTCCGCCAACCCTCCAAACAAACCAGTAACCTCCTTCATCGCTGTTTGATTCCCCTGAGCCGCTAGAGAATGTATAGTTCAGATTTCAACACCTTGGGCGATCGTTGGCTGATCGTGTCCTAGTCATCACTCTATTAGACTGGAACAGTCTAGCATAATATTCTCAACACAGGCATAGCGAAACACAGACTTCTCTTCGTTTCTCGTGAACACTACCTGCCCCAACAAGACGCGCTGCATCCGTCAAATGATGCCGTTAGCGCCTCCACTAATCAATCATATCCTCTTACTCCGAAGCACGCAGTCGATGGATCACTCAAAATGCCCAGCTGTACTTCGACAGCACTCTTTTTAGAATCATCTACACCACATTTGCTTGATGCAATCAATAAAATCCTACTGACAAGGTCAAAAGATCCGTCTACCACATCCCACGCACAGCAACCATCAACTCCTTTTCCCAATCAATTCATCAACTAAAACAGTTCACCACGAACAGCACTTACTGAAAAACTTAACCTCAAATTACGTACAGCGAAAAAACGTCAAACAAAGCTAAAGAACGACTATCATGGCGACGGTGACATAAGTCCACTTCTCCATATAACATCACGTCCCTGGTATGCCCTCACACTCACAGTCTCTCTTGCGCTCACCATCAAGATAACTTCCCCACTACTCAAAACACCACACCGCTTCTCTTGTCATTCTACGATCCCACCACAGGAACTCCTAACATGTCCTAAATGCACACAAGAAGCCCAAAAAGAATTGACACGACTAAATTATTCGAAACACCACTCTCATTCCCTAGAATAACAAAAATACGACACAACGAGCCAGGGAGAGCGAAAACTAAAATAATAAAATAAAATAAAAAACAACAATAACAACAACAACAACAACAGCGGCAATACACGACCAGCAGCGAATTAAAAACATAAGATCTCAACTAGTTTCTCTTGGAATTCCGCGCACTCATCAATCGAGTCACCAAACTTCCACAAACGCATCTCAACAGCATGGCCACGGCGTTGGAAAGAAGCCACGGCCAACACACAAATCTTCTAAAAAAGAACAAATAAAAAGAGAAAGAAAAAGTAAAGAAAAGAAAGAAAGAAAAAAAAAAAAAAAAAAAAGAAAAAAAAAGGGAGAAAATCGGGTGGCAGAGCACCTCGGACTACTGGAACGAAGACCGTAATGGAAGGCTAATCAAGGGGAGTAGTGAAGCTGCCGCGACGCAATGCCGGCGAGAAGTATGCGGCGCAGCAGTCGCCTTGCGAGAGAGATGGCGGGCACGCTTATCTGGAATCCTCGACAAGAGCTCGAATTATTATTACTGTGCACCGAAGCCCGCTCTTACCTTGCGATTGAACAAGACGCCCGAAGCAATAACCAGACGGTGCTGCCACCGTGGCATCCGCCATGACAGCAGTTGAAGAGGGTGGAGGAGGAGGCTCTATTATTGACCCCTCCCCCCGCTCTCTCTCTCTCTCTGTCCCATTCTCAAGTTGCCAGGTGTACGGACCGATCCGGTTTGGAAGCTCCACTGGGTGGTTCCGATTTCTGACATCTGACCACTGCCTCGGGAATCGGCCCATACTGATATCTATTTTTTTTCGCAGTGGATCTGTGCATCCACGTGGGTGTTCATTTATTTTATATTGTACCTGTAGATTCTTTTGGTGGTACATATGATCATTGTTCAAGCAAAACAAATTAAGACTTTTTTTTTTTCAAATGAATAATAACATAAAAAAATAAAATGCATACACATAATTTATTTTATTCTTTTAGAAATCTAACTTTCAATCCCTCTTTCATCATATTTTCAACATTATGATAACTTAAGATTATATTTTGTTTGTTTCTCTTAGACTTACTTTATATCAGGAAGCTGATTTTTACAGGCTATGGTTCAAAAGCCTTACTAAAACCTCTCACTTAGTAAAGAATAGCCCTTATTTGGAAGCCTTGTTCTTTGGATGTAGCACAAGTCATAAGCGGCTATGAAATAGACCAAACCATTCTTTTAATTAGAAATCTTGATGAAAATAATCATAAGAAACATTAAAAAATTGATTTTTAGAACTTGATAGTTATTTAAGTATTTTCTTAACATGGCTTCTTAATTTTTTTTTTAAATCCACGTCTTTAAGATGGACACAATGAAAATTATAAATAATAATAGTATTTGTACTATGTAGGGAAAAAAAAAAAGAAAAAGATCTATTTTTTTTTAGGAATTTTTTTCTTATTTTTTTTATATAATACCAATTCAAGAAGAAATCTAAATTTGAACTAATCACAACATTTTAGAAATATAGCATCTTATCTTGCCTCCAAAGAATAATATGCCTTTTAAACACAATATTAAAGAGTTTTGCTAATATATGTATATATATATATATATATATATATATATATATATATAAACAAATGGAATGGATTTCAAAAAAATATATATATACTATTTTCATACAATTTGCTCATCATATATTTGAATGTTCCAAATGTTGCAATTTGAGATAAAATTATATAAAAATCATAAAAATTACACCAATATACAATTTGACATTGTATAATTTCTTTTAAAAAATAAAGTGACAATTGGAAGAAAAGAACTCTTCATAATTTTAAGTAAAAATATTTTAAAATCATCTTTAATCTTATAATCTATTTCCTATGCTAAATCAATAAGAGCCTATGTGGAAGATTGGAACTCAATAATTTCACTTCTTAATATTATTATTATATATATGTTTTAGAAGAAATTCTTTAAAAATTAACTTTGATTTAAATTCAAGAATGATTAAAGTATTGTATCTTTTTTCAACTTTATGTTTTTTTTACTTTCATCATTAACAAAAAAATTTGTAATAAATTAAAGAGGTTAAATATCAAAATCCATCCACAAGTTGTATATTATTTGAAATGTCATGATATTTTATTTTTTATTTTTTATTTTTTTTTATAGTAGTACAAGGTTACTTGAGACCTATCTATTACAAACATCTAACAAAAAGATTTAAAAACATTCTTAGAATATATTATTAGGTTCTAAAAATATTTTATAAGATTCTTAAAATATTTTAATAGATAGTTTTAGAAGGTTTTCAAAATATTCCAATAAAAGATTATAAGAATATTTTAGAATATTTTAGAAGGTTTTTAAAATATTCCAATAAATTCTAGAAAGTTCTAGATGGATTAGGAAAGTTGTTCAAGAATGATATTATGATTGCTTCATCTCTAAGCAATATAGGATTTTTTTAAGAAGCTTCCTAGTATCTAATATATATTAGAGTCAAGATTGAAGGGATCTTTAGTTTTGACAATATGTCTTTGGGAGCTCTAGCTTATCTTTCTTGCTGTTAATTTTATATTCATCTAGTTAATCAAGTTCATGCTAGCTTTCTTGTTGAAACTCTTCTGTTTAGGTTCTTCTTTGATCTTTGTATAGTGTATTCACAATAGTTTGTGAAGATTGGCCTCTTATCAATACTTAAGCTTAATCTTTCTTAATAAAGAATACATTACTTCTATTTTTGAAGGCATCTAAGTGCTTTGGAGTTTGTGGATTATTCTTGTCTAAATTGATATTATTTAAAAACTTCTTTTTTTTCTTTCAGGATGGTTGGAAGTGAAAATGTTACCATAGTTGAGTCTATTGAATATCACGAACATACATAATTACTTTAATAATTACTTATATGATTAGATAGAAGTAGATAAAAGTATATAAAAGTAAATGAATTTTATTATATCTCCTAAAAGAGCTTCATAGACATGGTTTTGACTTTATATATGTTTATAGTTGATTTTTAAGTTATAAACTTGATCAACAAGTTAGCCATATATCACACATTGTTGTGTACTAACACGACTATATGGTAAAAAATGAAAACATGGATGTTGTTATAGAAGAGCCCAATAGAAAGATGTAGTAGAAAAAAAAGGATAAATAATAGAAAGATAATAAAAGGTTTAGTTTTAATACTGCCTTCTAGAAAAGAGGCTTCTGTTTGCTTAGTAGGAACATAAATACCTCAAATCAAAGTAAACAAGATAAGTAATTAATATAGACATGTTTAGAAGAGATTTATCAATAGGATCAAGTAAAAATTATCTCAAATTATCAAATATTGACATCCAAAGAGAATCAGTTGTCAACTTGGGTCGAAATTAGACCTTGAGGGACAAAATCATGCTTCTACGATGACTTCAAGGTTCTTTGGTATATTGAGGAGTGAAATTTGATAGCACATTTACAAAAAGATTTTTGATAATTAGTTTTATATGAATTGATTTAATATTTAGTTTTTGGAAAATTTCCAAAGTTAGTAATGCTCTTGGTTAGAATAGATTTTAAAAAATAAAGTTATATTTAAGAAATTAAAGATTCCTTGAGTTCTATGGTATATTGTAGAATAGATATTAGTTCGTTTCTGTAAGATATTGATAAAATAGACTAATAGTCCATAGAATAGTCAGTTCAGGAGGACGGATGATTGATTTAGTTATCAAAAGTGGTTAATTACAAAATTACAGTTAGAATCTGGGAATCAGGAGCAATTATATAGGAGTTATAGAAGTTTGTTGGGTGCCAAACTATGATAGTCATGAGCCAGGGTAAGCTTGGTGCTACCTCTTTGTTTCTTTGTTTTCTTTGTTGTTGAAGAATAATGGATAGTTTTTGAATACTGAGAGGATAGTCTGTGGAATAAATTAGAGATTGATTTATGAGTTATTGATTATGTAATTGGAATATTGAGTGATTGAATTATATGAGGAGTTATTAGAAGATTATGATTATTGTTTATTGAGAGCTATATGTGTTTTGGACAGAGGAAGTTGGTGATTATAGAAATTTTGTGAATTCAGATTGGTTAGAGTGAAGTCTGTTATTTTTGGTATTGGATGGAAATTATGTATTTTGAGCGGTCTTTTGAGAGTGCAGGATTACACACTATTGTTATCAGTTGATGAAGGATTATTGTTACTGGGAGAAAACATTGTATTGTTTCTTAGTATTTTAGTGGTTCGGAATACAGTTAATTGTGTGATCCTAACAAGCAAAACTCATGCACTTAGTCTTTTCTTGTGTTTGAATTTCCCTATATAGATTTATTTTGAAAGGAATTGTAGAATAAGTAAAACAAAAATCACATTTTGGCACCGCTACTGGGAATAGACAATAGCATTGAGTGTTTGGAATTAACTGCCAATTTAGTTAGATGGGAGATAGGAAGAAAATTTAGTAGAATATAATGAAGGAGTATGGTTATTAAGAATGAGAACTTAATAGTAAAGAAAATACAATGGTCGAAAGAAAGAATAGAGAGATTATAAGCAAGAAATTTGTTGCGTAACAAGCAAGAATGGAAGTTAAAAAGGAATCATCAACAAAGTTAGATTAAACCATAGTTGCATGCCTATCGGCATATCCGAGTATACCCAGAAGCTGATCAAAATCAAATATTTCAGCAATATATACTGTTAGAAAAATTACAAAGAGCACTTGCAAAAAATTTGGTCAATAGACCAGTGTTTTCCTTGAGGCCGTTAACTGTGAGTGGAGGAATCACAGAAGAATTGGGTATTTAGGAAATTAAATATCTCTTGAGTTCTATGGTATATGTATTAGTAAATTTTGGATAAAATATTGGTATGCTAGTTGTAAATGTATTCAAATTTTGAGGTCAATCAAATGGTTAGATCAAAGTATGTGAAGGTTTTTATGGATTGAGGTCTTGAAAATTAGAGTTTGAGGATCAGTGAGTATTTTTAAGATCTTTAGCGATTTGTTGTTTGGATTGAAGTGAATTTTTTTGTATAGAGACTAGACTTGATTTACAATAGTTTAAGTAAAATTTGAGAAAAATTCAATAGCTAAAAAAAGAGATATTGGTATTGGAAGTTGAATATTTAGATTAGAAGATGAGGCTAGCTAATACTTGAGTGGATTTTAGGATTTTTCTTCCATTTGATTACTGCGATTATCTTCAAATTTGTTATATTTATTTTTAATTAAGAAATTAAAAGATATTCTAAATTTTAAATAAGATCAATGGTCTAATTGATAAATATTGAGGTTCTAATCTATCTTAAGATTAGTTTGAATTGGTTAGATTT